GGTAGGTGGGCATATAAATGTGACACACTTTCTTGAATTTGACAATCCAGATCGGTACTCTCAGTTACTACTTAGTTGTTTATCATACCCGCAGCGCGTTTACTAGCTAAAACCAAAGACATGTATGTTTCGCCGGTCTTGTGCCACTGCAGAACACAGCTGCGAGGGCTTCAGCTCACTAGTGGGTTGCTCAGCGTTCTCCATGGGTTTTCTGGTATATGAACTCCAGTTTCTGTTCCGCGTTATTTAAATTCCCCCAAAAATGAACGAGGCATCTACGTTTATTCCTTATTCTGCAAAGTTTTTTATATGAGAATTGGTAGAAGGCCTATACGGTTATCTGTAGGCTATACTCGTTAACGCAATAAGGGTTATTCCATTTTTAAAAACAACCTTAGCGTGGCAACTATTGTGTAGGCTGATTCTGAAGAATTCTGTTATGTCTCTTGGGTGTAGTTTATGTTGATTCTTTTGGTTTTCTCCTTTGCTAGTCGAGTAAGCCCAGAAAGTTAATCGCAACAAGCAAGATTCCAAGCACCCGGACTCATTGCATTGAGGAACAACATCTTTCAGAGACCCATAACACTGAGCGAAAGGCTCCCCACCCACCAGTTTCCATCTCTGCACAAAACCGCCGATCATTCGAACAGACCTCTGAGAATGCTACGAGATTCTTCGAATCACCTTCGAGAGGTCAAATTGTCCTCGCGTACATTGACTTCTCTCCTGATGACACATTAATGGAGGGCGACGGTGGAGGACTCGAGTTGGGTAGCCCTTTCTCTCCCATCTCCCCCATACCTATTCCCGTGGTTCAGCAATCTACGCAGTTTTTCTGAAGTCTTTGATACTTGTCCGATTGAACACTAGTTTAAAGAGAAAACGGAATAAACGAAAAAGGAGGGGCACCTTTTTAACGCATTTGAGCAGGCAACCGTGGCTTGCCGTGGCCCCGAGACAAACTTTTTGTCAGCGTTCAGTAATTTACTGAGAATAGATTTCCTACTTTGAGACTTGCAGTAGCACTTTTTCTAGGGACTTTCATTTTTTGCTCTTTCTTTGAATTAAAAAAATAAAATGTTAATTTATTTTAAACAAGCTGGTCCGACCGCACTCACTCTCTATCACTGAGGGTACTTTTCATGTCGTTTGGGTTGCAGTAGTAAAAACCTAAGCTACGGGCCTTAAGCCAGGCAGGAAAAACTGTTGAGTTTTCTGTTTTGTATGTTTTCGAAAATGGTCTACCTTTTGGCTGAATGCGAGTGAATTCACAAACCTTTCTACGCTCCGTCTATATTTTGCGGAAACATAAATCGACGAACGCGTCTCTGTCAGAGATTGATAACCTACTGATCAACTCTAATAGAAGTTTTCCACTTTCAGCTCAAAAGTAGGTGAAATGTCGCAACCTAATGCTTAGGTCCATTTTTGTTCAGAACCCCAAATAAATACAGTCTTTTCGTAAATTATATCAGTGGTTGTCATGGTGCTACTGTCTTCGAAAATAATAACGCAGAATATAGACGGGTGTGTTGCTCGATGGAAGACTTTTAAGGAAGAGATTCAGCCTTGACACAAAGAAAATCATATTCGATACCGTTCGAACCCAAGTTCCAAAACACTGTCATATAGGGATTTAAGCATTCACAGAAGGAGTATGCTGTCAGCAGAAAGAAGATCATGTCCCCGAACACAAATGTGGTTTTCGTAACTAAAGGAAAACAAGGTCGGCCTGATGTATGTTGCGGTTTGAAGATCTTTTAGGATGCTTCCTATTTGAACTTACATTCATCGAGTAAAAGCGGCAACTCACATGTCTATTCCCAGTTGAACCCACCAGCCAAAATCAGTTTAGACGTTGCCTTCAAATGCAAAACAAGCCCGACTTCTAGGATGAACCCTGACAGCTTTCCGACTACTAAAGTTTAACGTTTCACAGAGGCGTCGGTCCGCTGAAAACGCAACTATTTTCACAGAAATGGCAGCATATCAAATAATATTCCAATTCTTCCTAAATGCGAGTTCATATGTAGTTATAACACGTCAAATAGGTGACGAATGTACCGGGGTATAAGTCTGATGATTGCAACACTGACTGCTTGCTGTAGACATGTCAATTTTTTGGAGTGAAATTGGTATGATAATTGAAGTATGTTTTTCATGTCTCTATGGAAAATGCTATACCGAATTTCTGTCATATAAGATGTCAATTTGGATGTGAGAAGAAGGTGGACCACAGATCTAGTGAAAGAAGACATTACAAACGATTAGATACGTTTAGTTTGGTGTTCACGGTACAGAATTTATAACTCCTACACGCACGTGGCGCAGCTTCTCTCGTGAGATGTCAGTCTACGTTCTAAACGATGGGTCTTTGAACATTTACAGTTTTTGGAAACCTTATCGATTGCTCTGGTTTCTCAAAAACAATTAACTATCTCATAAGTCTTTGGAACATGCATGAAGATTGCGAATTATAAAGGGTTAGTGAACTGCAATTATGCGTAATAAGCTCTTGTCCCTTCTTCTTTTTCTTATTGTCATACCATCCTGGAAACGCATTTTCCTACCATTTACTACCTGAGCGTACGATAATAATAAAGTAAAATTGTTGCATGCAGCTGAAAACCATCAGGAGAATGAAATCAATACCTCCTAGACTCTTCAAGTAAGCGCCTGAAGGTGCAAACATGTGGGGTTGCGACCGAATGTGTAGCAAGGGGATGCATAAAACGGAGTCGCGGCAACTAAATGTATACAAAGTTGCTCAATGTATTTCGTGTTTGATTTTCAATGCAGATTGCCTTGATCTGTTGTCCGATCGTGCCATTGTCGTATCAACAGCCGCAGGTAGCAGTGACAGACTTGCTGTGATGGTTAATTAACTTTTTCCCCACCGAGTGAAATTGTTGCATAAATATTTTGTTTTACTCTTGTCGATCATTTCACTACCGACACCAAGGCAATTTCAAACTAGTCATTACTATTGTATGAATTTGTTAGAGATGGATTCTTTCCCTGGAAGTAGACTTGGTAGACCGGAAGGCACAATGTTCCAGGGGATTTAGTTGCTCTGAAAGCTCACTCCTCCAAAGTCAACAGGTTGCTCGACCGTAAATAGAAGAGAATATGCGAGTTCCAGGAAGCAGTTCAGAAGAAGAAGATGCG